GTTTATTTGATCTTGTGACTCTACAGGATGCCTAAATTTCTCTTCGAAAATGAATGACAGGTTATGCTATTGGGCCATAGTGACTCCTACCAAAGAGATAAGCAGATGCAAGTGACCATTGCCTATAACCATTTTGGTGAGGGTCTTATCCAGAGGATGCCAAGGTAACTGAAATAAGATGATCATCGTAGCCCTTGCACGGTTTTCTCGTAGGATTTACAGAATAATTTTAATCAACGAGGTCAATTCATAAACCTTGCAGGTGCAGGCATGGGTATTTCCATGTAGTGAACAATGACTACACCCACTGGGAAATGTATGCCATTGGAGGGAGCGCTGATCCCACCATTAACAGCCAGGGCAACAGATATCTTGCCCCTGCCAACGCTTTTGCCAAAGAGGTACCGTAAATAAATGACTTCTTGTGATCATAGTTCTAAGACTTGTCATCATGGTTATAAGACTCCCGAGGTTTAAGGTCCGGGTTGCAGGTCGGATAAGTTGACCCAGATAATCTAAATTTTGACTTTTTTTTAATAAAAAAGGTTTAAAATCACGTCATTTTGTTAAAAAAGAAAAAACAGGCTAGACTCTGGTCGGTGGATCTTGCTCGTGATAATGATAATCCCATTATTCACGTGATGACTAAATTATAACAATCATGAGAAAATTGATATTGGCAGGTGACAAAAAGGGTGGACACGAATGCTGGAGTATGGAAGCATTGGAATTGGAGATCAGAGGGAGACATGCTGCTAAATGGAGCCTACTTCGTTGCATCAGGAGCCGGAGCTGCAGCCAGCTATGCCAGGGCCTCAAGCTTAGGGGCAAAGTCCTCATCGATGGTCGGGGCCATAACTTCCAATGCCGGTGCCCTTTCCTGCCGCAGGGGCCGCCGATGTTAATTCTTATTAATCCCATCAACACTACGAAACGAGAAAACAAAAGTTGAGTACAAAAAAAAGGTCAAAATTCTTCCTTCCCCTATTATTGCCATAGCAGTATCCAGTGAGTTTGCAGCTATTCCGTTTTACAGCATTTCCTTCTCAGTATCTCCCCCCCAATGCCCGCCCATATATTTGGCAAGTGTGCATTATATTACATGTGCCATACTGCTGTCACGCCAGTATGCAATATTCCACCTGTCATTTTGCCATTGATCGACCTCGGCCTGCTTTAAATGCTCTGCATTGTTGTTCGACGTCTCTATTCCTCGTAGAGTTAGTCCATTTGCTTCTCTATTGTATAATTCAATCCCCTATTTGGATCAACCATGTCGCTGATATTGTCTGATTAATTAGCATCAAGGTTCCTTGCTTTAATCACCTCGTCTTGTAATTATGGATTGTCCTTCTTATCACCCCTGTAATTATCGACACGCCAGTTCCACATAGATGGCACCCGATGCAATGATATGCATTTAGCTCTTCGCTGTGAAACCAAATTACCTATTGGTTGATCCATAAATGAATCTTGGTTTACGAAAATGCATTAACTTGATTTATTATATTTGTTAATTTCTAGTCCTTCTTCTAGATTATATCGTTAAATCTAATCCTCTTTTGGATGATAGTTATAACAACCTACGACCTAATTTGGGATCAACTTGATTCAAGTTTGAAATTATTTTTTATATGTTTTTAAATTATTTTAATGAGTTAATGTAATTTTAAAAAATTATTTTAATATATTTTTAAATAAAAAATATTTTAAAAATTAACTTCATTACCCTGACAACAAACAAGCATTAAACTTTAACTCCTTCCAACAAAGTTTAATCATAGTCTAAACTGGTTTTAAAACTGAAATTACAAACTAAATCGGTAAAAACAATCAATATAGCAAGAACAATAATGGTAAAAAATATCATGAAAAAAAAAAAAGCACAGGTGTTGACCGTATCTATATTTAATAAATAAATCATTGGCAATTTAAGAAGCGCTATATCAGACAAACTCCATGTGAGACATAATAGAAAATTCAATGAAGCAAAATAAAATATGGAAAAATCTTGAAGCATGCTAAATATAGTTTGATATTGATTAGTTTCGAAAGAATCCTTAATGAAAAAAGAATAACATAGTCCCGTTCCCCTAGTTTAAAACACAATTGAACCTCGGACCCGCCAAACGACCCAGAAATGTAGCAGAGACAATCCCAAAGACTAATTCCCCGCATTAACTAAATCCCAATAAGTTCGTAGGAAAAAGAAGAAGTAGAGGGACACAAATTATATTAATGTATTAACGTGACAGGTGTATCAACAAGTTCAAATCTAAAAATAAGTTTCAACATGCCAAATAATTTTTTTTAACAAAATCATTGAATTATTAGATTCTATTATTGATCAATAATTTTTATTTAAATAATATTATTTTTAAAAAATTTCTTTAACTTAAATTTAGTTGGATTAACTAGGGTTTTAATTTTTCGATTCAATTTCAAATCAAACTCATATTAAATTTAAAATCAAGAGTTTTTTTTAAGATAAATTGGGTTTAATTACTGTGTTCCAATACATGCATTTTTTATTTATTTACGTGGGGTGTCCGAGCCAGCTTGCACGCACCACGACTAATTCTCACGGCCCACTGAATACCCTACAAACCCAGTAGGCATGTAAGGCACCGCGGGGGTGACAGACGTGCACACCAGGACTCGAATCCATGTACAATAGAAGGAGACAAGCCCCTTTCATCGCTAGGCCAAACTCCTCGGTGCATGCATTTTCTTTTTCTTTGTGCAATTGTGGCTCATTTAAGTGGTGTTTGAGAGTTGTTTTTTATAATATTATTTGTTTGAAAATATATTAAAATAATTTTTTTTTTCTATTAACATATAAAAATTAAAAAAATTAAAAAAAAAACTCAAAATTTTTTCAAAAACACCTTTTAACATGGAAAAAACACACCCTCATCCTTCGTTTAGCCATGCTAAACAGGAAGCTCAGGACCCGGCTGCAAAGATTTTCATCTATTTTTCACAGTTTCTTCAATGTGTCAAAACACAGTTCAAAATTAAATAGAAAGTCAGACACTGTTGGATAAGAAGAAGAAACATTATCAGAAGATGGGTGGCGTTTAAACCATAGTTTTAAAACCCGGCCCGGCCCGGCGGGTTGACCCGGGACCCGGCCGACCCGGGGCTGGAACCGGGCCGGGTTGATGAAAAAATAAGGTAAGCTATGACCCGGCGTGACCCGGCCGACCCGGCGGGTTGACCCGGAAACCCGGACGACCCGGCAAAACCCGGTCAAAAACCCGGTGGTAACCCGTTGACTTTTATTTATTTTTTATTAAAACGACGTCGTTTTGAATTTTTTTTAAATAGAAATTGACCCGGCGACCCGTTCGACCCGGTCAAAACCCAGTGACCCGGTCAAAACCCGGAACCCGGGACTTGGACCGGGTCAGCCACCGGGCCGGGTTTAAAAACTATGGTTTAAACCGAGTTCGTAAATATGCTAACATTTTATTTTATTTTTTCAAAAAGTTGCAAACTTAAAGCATATCTTGCCATCTTGACAAGGATGGTTAATGTCATAACTCTCAATTAAATTTGAGAAAACAAAATATTATTAGTAGTTTGTCATGTTTGTAATGTGTTTGTAATTGAATAAATAAAAAGAAAAAGAATTAAAATGTATTTATGTAAAGCACGGGATGGAAGGAAGTCTAAGCAACAGTAACTTTAGAGTATAGGGTGTCTAATTCATAGAGTTTTTAAACTCGCCCAGTCAAGTCCGAGGTTCCCGGTATTAATTGGATCATCAAATTTTAATAATGTCATCCGATCCATTCTTATTTTTTTAAAAGATTAGAACAATGTTGTTTTAATAAAAAAAATATCAACAAGTTATAACTGAGTATTGCTAAATTGTCGAGTCAACTTATCAGGTTAACCAAGTCTCTTTAAATTTTAACTTTCTTTATTTTTTCTAAAACCCAGTCTGATTTCAATTATAGATCATGAATCGACTTGCTAGGTCGGGTTAGATTTAAAAACTATACTAATTCATTATATAGTTCTCTATCCAAAAACTCATTAACCAAAACTAAAAAAGAAAAAGAAGAAAAAAAAGTATAAAATGAGCATTGAAACTTTCTATCCAATTTTTTGTTTAAAGAAAAAATTAATTTTTTTAATTGTAATTTTTTACATTCTAATTAAATGAAATTAATCTTCAAATTAAAATAGAGAGAATGGATGGCTCACTTCAAATTTACAATAATTTTTATTTTGATATAAAAATTTATTTTATTTATTTTTTAATTATTAGGTTAAAGAGAAAAGAGAGAAAGTTGTCCAAAACTTGTATAAAAAAAGAGAGAAAATAATTGGTTGTTGCAATACTGATAACAAAAATAGTTAAATTTGGTGTAGTTCTATTTAATTAAAAAAGTTCAAATACACTAAACTGATTTAGTCTGCACACCTGGCTTAACCTTTTCTTTAAAAAAAACTTCAACAATGGGTTTTTGATACCTTGTCTAAATGTTTAAAAAAAAGTTGTGAACTTCACTTTTTTTTAGTCAATCCTTTTTTTTTTTTAACAAATTGTTCAAATTAACTTTAAATTTAGGTGTCTAGTCTTTGTTTTTAATATTATTTTTTTTATCTTTGAATTTTTTATCTTAAAATCTATCAAATCAAGTCAATTAGATTATATCAAAACAACTCACACATTTCATTTAAAACTTAAACTTGATAAAGACTCAGTTAAGGACTTTTAAATTTGACTCATTAAACTAGATTTAATAATAGCTATATATAAAAAAAATTCCTGTCGCAACTTGGATATTCTTTTTTCAAGCAACATAGCACATGAAGTAAACTGGTAAAATTGCTAGATGTTAATTATAATGTTATTGTGGAGTCTTGGCGTGTGAAATTTATTGAGGAAAAACGCATCAATGACTACAGTAATGTAGAATTGAGTAATACAAATCTTAATTATTATTCCAAGAATAATAATAATAATAATAATTAAAAAAAAAAAAACAGAAGCTAACAACTCATCATTAGACGAAGTCAAAGATGAATAATATTCTAACTTTGAATACTTGTCTCTCAAGTTACATGCACCTACCATGCCATTTTATTTGTCTCAAATTCATAATTCAATAACGCTCGAGTCTAATTAATAAATAGAAACAAATATAGTTAATACAGTCAGTCCACATGCACATTTCACCTTTTGATCATAGATTCATAGTGATGGAACGAGCACAAGAAACAACGAATAGGACCATCTTGGCCAATAATTGTAGTGCGACACAGGGCACATAAATAATTGTATGACTATGAACCATTGGCATAATTCCCATGAGAGAGGGTGGGTCATGGTATTTTCTCATAGCACACAGGGTTCAAACAAATCTTGTCATACAGGACACAGCTTACGGGGTGCGCATATCAGGCTTGAAAAGCAGATCAAACATGGAGAAGCAGGACCACTGCCACATGCATGCTGGTCAAAACATGTAGTTAGCACTGCATGTGGGATGTTTAGGGATCAAATACGCATATTGAAAAGCAGATCAAACATGGAAAAGCAGGACCACTGCCATATCAATGTCTACTACCTATGCACAGAACAAGCCAAAGGTAGGCAACCGAGTTTATCCCTTACTGTCCTGTTTATGCCTCCAAGTGACAGGACTATGTTCAATACAATAATTTTATGACATCGATGAATCACATGATAAAACAAATGAATAGTTGTTCAAGAACATGCACGGCAGTGTCCAGAAACCATGTCGGGCAAATTGGCAAGCAATCAAAACTGAGAGAAACTAGATCCCGGTCTATCTGGTTCAAACACAACGCTTTTTCACAAAAAATTGTAGCATATAAGAATGTTAAGATTAAACATCCACCTAAATAAGTAAGAGAAAAAAATAAATATAGGCAGTCTAGTTTTATTCACTACCTCAACCGCAAATCTCCTTCTGTGCAAACATTGCAGCAACTTCATAGGTCCTCTAGGTTACTGATGCCAGATCACCGGCCTAGAAGAATTTCATGGCAATAAGGCTGTAGGTTTACTTGACGCATAGATAACCAAAGGTATAGACTAATTCGCATTGTGCAATTTGGGGTCATGAACCAACATAGGGCAGACCATCACTTCCCGTGTGGTAAGTAAGGCCAGCTTATGCTGATTGAATATGATAATCAAGAAACTCAACATCCTAATCAGACTGTTTCTATGATCCAAAGTTTTTGTATGCTTCTAAAACAGGCTAGATTCTCCAACCTGAAAATCAGTCACCCTTGAATCAGAACATTCTAAAATTTGAACTAGTCTCATGGCTTAAAGAAAGGGAAAAGGGCTAATGTTTACCTGTCATATAAGTCTTGCTAGACTTAGCGGTGCATGGAAATATAGTACAGTTGAATATCATAAATTCATAATTCCTGAACCAAATTCTAAAACCTGAAACTAAAAGCTCAGCTCATTTTGCCTAGCCAACCACCCAAACCCTGAAAAAAGCCTAGGAGTAGGGAAGATATATCTTGTTGCAGGATTCTATTTTCATAAATAATGGAGTCAAATCCTCAGCTCAAATTCTTTGACAGTAGAGACTCTCGAGATTTACACCTGAGCATAACAACATGAATACAAGCCAGTTAAAGAAAATGGAGATTACCAATTAATTGATGGATTAACCATCAACTAAAGGCAAGACTGTAGGATGGAATCCCAAGAAAATACAGAGAGAAATTTAAAAAACCAAGCTGAGAAGAACTGTAAAGTAGTCAAAACTCCATAACAATTGTAAATGGAAACGTATAATGAAGCTAGAAGCCCCCGAACTTTAATATCATGGAAGTATATATCGCTCATCAATCTAAGAAACTTACACCACAAAATGTGACCCGATATGGATAGCACACATATTTTGTATTCATAGTACAACAAATTAACATATAAATTGAACTTATATCAAATGCATCACCTGAAATCACTTCAACCGAATTACTCCTGTCTCCCTTATCTTCTGTAGTCAGGACGCCAATTTTCATCATACCGCTGCCTCCTCAAATTTCCCCTTTCGACTCAATCAAATCCAAACAGCGTCCATGTCACAAGAGCTGGCTCTCCACTACTCTCCATAATAAAAGAACCCAAGCAAACACACTGGATGGAAGCATTAGACCTGCTAAACAGATTCTCTGCTGATGAAATTTACAAGATGAAATGGATAACCCACAAGTAACCTTATCCGCACGCTACAGGAAATCCCTCCCAAAATTCTCATGAGCAAGTTCATATCTTAACTTCCCAGGTTGACTCTGCATGATAATTACAAAACATTAGACCAAAAACACAAAATTGTCAAAAACATCACATCAAATCAACGTAAAGATCCCTCTCAGCCCTTAAAAAATAATTGCACTCAAGAAAAAATGAATTTGTAATCCACAATATTCCGTTCAACTTTGCTGAATTTCCATGAAAAAAATGAAGCTCAAAACACCAAAAAAAATTAATTAAATCTTATCGTAACCAAATCAACTCAGCTAATCTTAGAAAATCAAATTAATAACAATTAAAAGCAATGAAACTAAACCTTGGCAACCGTATCAGCAATAAACTTTCGATGCCGAAGAGCTACAATTTCCCCATTACGAACAGCAACACAATCTCTGGGCATCTCAAACAAGGAAAGTGAAAATTGCTTAAAAACAACACCAACATCGAAATAAATAAGACCTGAACTCGGCACATCAACTCGAATCCCTTTAACAGGAAACCACAGAAACAATTCCTGCGACGAAATCCCCGATAAAGCTCCGATCTGCCCGTAACTCAAACTGCCCGTAACATTCATATCGTAATGCAATTCACTCTCAAACTTCGCATTGCAAGCCTGATCCAAGTGTACCTCGAAACGCCCCGTTTCATCGATCTTGAATTCCTTCACTCCCTTCGGTAGCAACCCTATGGGGAGCCCGTGCGCTTTTAAGACATCGTATATCGATTTTTCCTGATCGGAAAAGACGGTTGTCATTGATACTACAAGAAATGAAAGGTAACAAATTAAACGAAGCATTTTATTTTTCTTCCTGTGGTTAGAGCATGAATTTAATTTAATGGTTATTTACAGTTTGGGGAATGTGAATTAGGGTTAGGGTTTAAGGATTTGTTTTTGAGAGAGAATGGTGGAGGAATGGAGTAGCTTGGAGAAGTAGCCGGAGGAGAAGAACAAGAAAGCGGTGCCAGCTTGCATACAGCAATCATTAGGAGGATGATCAATTATTGGCATTGATTAGGTACTGTTTGGTATATTGAAAGTAATAATTTTTTAAAAACATTATATGAAAATAATATTTTTTATTTTTAAATTTTAATATATTAAAATAATTTAAAAATATAAAAATTTAATTTTAAATATATATTTTAAAAAGAAATACAGTGTCATTATAAAAACAAACACTGCCTTACAGGACCCAACCCAAGTTCTAGGTTATAACATAGTTGTAAAATCTAACCTAGAAATAGTTGAAAAATCTAACCTAAAAATAAACACAGGGTATTACTAGTGTCAGGGGGCCAGCTCCAAAATAAAAATTAAAAAATTAAAGAGATATTATTTTGAAAAAAAAATCATTAAAAAGCTAAAAATTAAAAGTTATGTTTTTGACTAAATCAAGTTTGGATTAGGGTTAACTTATGTTTATCTAGTCAATTAAATTTTTTATATATATATTTTTAACCTAATAGATTTAGATTGTAAGATTAGTCCAATCTAGACAATCTAGATTTTAAATAACAAGATAAAAAGATTTATAGATTTACATTATAGACCAATTTCTTATTTGTTCTCCTCTAACAATATAAAATTACCATGTGTTATTGGAACATCAATTGACATGTGAATCGAGGAGTGAGTGTTTAATATATATTTAAAAATATGATGGAAATTATTTTTTAAAGTATTTTTTATTTGAAAATATATTAAAATTATTTTTTATTTTTAAAAAAATATTTTTGACATTAATACATCAAAATAATCCATAAACACCAAAAAATTAATTAATTTAAAGCCAAAAATGATAATATTGTGTTAAAAAAATAATATCTATATTTCAAATATATATATATATATATTAAATGAAAAACTTATAAATATTATACATATATGTTTTATATTAATATTGAAATATGTATATATCATATTATATTAAAAAATATAAATGTTTTACAAATATATCTTTATAATATAAATATATATTTCGTGTAAGTTTTGGTTGAGTTTGATAATAATCATGCTCTGCCCATTACCTATCAAGATAATTATCCAAAAGATATTTACTTATTTAGATTGGGTTGATATGATGTAATAAGTGATAAAAAAAAATCTTTTTAATAAGCATCATATTTTTGTTAAAAAAAATCTTGATTTCACAAGAGAATTCAATTTATTTTTTCCATGTAATAACATTGTTTTATATTATTTTAAAAAAAATAGTTTTTTGTCCACATCAAACTCAGCGAGCATGGATTAACTTGTAAGATAAACAAGGTTTTATTATGTATAAAACTAAAAGGTAAGAGAAAATATTATTTCCTCACACACTTATATATAAAGCGAAAAAGTAAGGAGAAAATATTATTTCCTCACACATCTATTAGTATTGTGGATTATAATAATAATATTTTTTTATTTTGACCCTTTTTTTCCCTTTTTTATTGATTATTCTTTTAATTTAGTCTTTACATGATATTTTTTATAGGGATTTAAAGTTGATAATTTATTTTAATTTTCCTTTTATATGATTATCATGGTATCAAAAAAAACATCCTAGTAGGTTGATATCAAAATAATATTTGAACATTGTGGTATATGGTCTATTTTTTCAAAAGTTTAGTTAAATAAAAAATAATTTAAAAATAACTGGGTTATTAAACTTTATGGAGTTAACGACTCGGTTTGCAAGTTTGGTAAGATAACCTTGATTGCATTGGTTTGCGGGTTTAACGGTGGTTTTAATTTTTACTAATTGAACTCAATTATTTGATCGTCAATTTTTCTCTTTATCATTTAGTTTTCAAAAAATAGTTTTAGAAGAAAAACATATTATTAAAATTTAAAAAGATCATAGGCATGTTGACAAGTTTTTAAATTTTTTTAAAAAATTAATTTTTTTTATTTCATTCTTTGATATTGGATTATTTGAGAATTAATTTTTATAATTTGTTTAATTTTATTTTTTATGAGGTTATCATAGTTTTAAAAAAAATCTCAATACTGGATTGACGCTCAATTTTATAATTATCTATTTTTATTATTATATAATTAAATAAAAAATAGTTTAGAAACACAAGTTATTAATTTCAATAGAGTCCATTACCCGGTTTATAGGTTTAACGTGTTAACCTGAGTTACCCAATTCACAGATTTAACGAATTTACCCATCAAATCTAATATGTTTGTTTTTTAGTTTGGTCTTTTAATTTTTCTAATTGTTTGTTTTTATTTTATTATTCTTCAATATTGGATTGATTAAAAATAAAATTCATTGTTTTTTTTATATTTTGTATAGGGTTATCAAGATCTAAAATAAATATCTTTTTTGAGGTTTCATGTTCGATTTTGTAAGTATCTAATTTTACCATAAAATTAAATAAAAATATCTTAAAAAATACAATAAGATAATTACACTCATTGAAGTCTATTACCTGAGTTACAAGGTGATCGAGATCGATCAAATTTGGTATCATCTCAATATTAAAAAAATTATTGTTTTAATTTTTTTAAAAAAATTATATCATATTTTTATCGGTCATTCAAGTCTTTTTTAAATTTATTATTTACTTTGGATTAATTCTCAAGTGGTTTAATTCGAAATTCAAGTTAAATATGACACCAGATTAATAAATTTTAAGATTGAATCATTTAATTAAATTTAATAAAATTATTATAAAAATCTTCATACTTTTATTTGTTTTTCCAAAAATAATCTAACTCGTAATGAAATACCGATAAATATAATAGTAAATATGATAACAACTTGGCAAAAATTCTCCCACCGGAACAATGTTTGGATGCTATTTTATAATGATTTGTTAACTTCACTCCCGTCGTAAAACAAAACAAAAAACAAAATAATAATAATAATAATAATTTAACCTTTGACTTGATCAAGTTGAAAGTAATCTATCAATAGAGGAAGGTAGGGCGAGACACGGCATGTGAAGGATGGAGATGTTCGGGCATGAAGTATGATTATGATTTTGTCTTCACATGTAATAATAAACAATAATTTCGTTACTATTAATGGTAGAGGATTTATTCCTAAGCATGTCTCCATGAATAATTGTATTCTTGTCATGTTGGTTCGACAAACGTATCATGTTTTGCTTTGACAACTTCGTTTGTTTGTAGAAATGTATATCGCTGGGCCCTACATATTGATAATACTAAGTTGTTCAAATATATCTTATTTGAAAAAAAAAAAAATTGATATTTTTTTGATATTTACTAATTATCTTGATATGTAATATAATTAAAGAAAATTGATCTTGTTTTATATATATAATAAAATAAAAAAGAATAACGTGCCTTAACTACAAAATTAGGGTTTGGAATTTTTGTTCAAGAAAAAGTTTTTGATGAAAAGCAACAACACAATAACACTTAAATAAATAAATATTATGTATCTAAATATAATTTAAACTAAAATGATAATACTTTCTTGTATAAAAGGAGGGAGTGGCGTAAAGTGCACAAGTGTTGTTATGGTAAAGTTTTCTTTCTTTTTTCCCCTCCTCCACCTCATTAACTTTTATTAATTTACAGTGATTTAACATTAAAATTATGGTAAATTAGAGTTAAGGGGTAACATTGTATGATACTCAATCTTATAGTAAAATTGATAAAATTAAAAGGTTTGATACTTAATTATTAATAGGCAATATAAGTTTCCTTTGCAATATAAAAAGATAAAAAAAAAAAAAAGCATAGCTATGAATCCTGATATAATCCGTGACCTAACTCAATGTTCGGATCATAGGTTATGTGAATTAAATCGAGTTGACTCTAGTTAATCTATATTTCAAAATCATTACGTTAAAATGATGACATTTTGTTTTTTAAAAGAAAAGTTAAATTGAGTTTCACTTAGGACTCTCAATAATATCATTTTATTTAGTCTCCTCTAAATAGTGTAATTATCTACGGGTGTCTGGTATAACCGGTAGCCGTGATGCTAAGACGTTATGTGTTATTGAGTGTATTAAGATCTGTTAGGATGATAATGTCTGATTTTGCTCTTGGGTTGTCAATACAATCTAAATGAGGAGTTGCACTTAACTAAGGAGTTGTGGAAAGTTTGCTTCGATAAAAGTATTCGTGGTAACATATTGATTTGTCTTGTGCCCTTACCCAAGTATGTATTGATTGCGTGTCATGAAATGACCTGAAAATATTAAAAACAAGCTTTAGAAACTAATGATTTTTTTATCAATTCCTCACATACGGTGCTAATTGAGGAGTCTCAAAATTCAAGATAGTTAAAAATAAGGTTGACGTGTTAGGTAATTAGTTAATATTTTAGTTCAAGTAATCTGATTCATTTTTTCTATCTAATTTTTTCTTTCTATATAAGGTATCTAATGACTTAATATAAAAAGTTTACGTGATTAATAGTTAATGGTATTTGATAAATCAAGGTGACTGATAATTGGTACTTACAAAAGGTTTCATTTAATTTAATAGATGTGGGGACTTTCAAATATTTAATTCAGTTACTTTATAGAGAAAAAATACAATGATAATTTTAAAAAAAATCTTTTTTAAAAAAATATTTGAGCTTTTTAAAGGGTTTTTTCAGCTTATTAAATTTGCATTTATCGCCTGTTTACATTCATGAAAAAACTCATTAATAATAATTATTTAACATGATCATGGCTCTTATTTCTTGTTCCATAAATCTTTTGCTTCGTTGATCATGTAGTGAAAACCCACAAATCCCTTATATCACTCTTAATGATTTTTTGAACCCAGTTTATGCTGACCATAATCTTCTATGGACATGTGGACCACATACTAACCTAGTATATATTTCATATGACCTATTGTAATCGATTATTACTTTTAGCCATAAGATTTTTCAGAACATAATGATTTTTTTTTGTACAAAACCAATGAAATTTCCTTACTAAGTTGGAAAATATTTAATGTATAATGTTTGCCATAATATACTTTAGAAAAATATAAAAATCAACAAGTATAAATAAATTATAT